CTCTCTAACGCAACCGTTGGATGACACCACATTGTGTTCTTCACAGTGTTTGTAATTTCTGCAGCTACATCCGTATAGGGTTATTCTTCAGCAGGTTTCTTTCAAATTAAACCCAAATGAAAATATATATTTTGACATCGCTCTCTGCTGTCTTTTAGGAAAATGTAGAGTAGTATCAGCCATGCATCTCTCCACCCCCACAGTGATACACCCCAACCTCCCGTCTTCTCCTCCTCTTCCTCCTCCTCCTTGTTTGATTCTTCTCTGTGTGTTCTGTACATGCCAACAAATCCTAATTGCACCCCACACACTTTTCTTCCCACCGATGCTGCGCGATTCGTGCCACCAAATTCCTTGTGTGCTAATTAGGCACGCAACCACGGTGGATACACTCCTGACAGGTGCTGCTGGCCTGCCGGGGTCACACACACACACACATACTAGAAGAGACAGAGAGAGAGAAGGAGAGAAGCTCGTGCTCACAGCATTAAAAATAAATGGAGAGGGGAGAATAACGAGAGAGGCAAGACGTGTTAATTTCTAGCTTCCATCTGTTATTACATAAGCACTGCCAACTACTAGCATCTCTGGAAGAACAGAGAAAGAGAGGAGGAGAGGAAGAAAACAGCCGTAACTGAAGTCCTCCTGCATGGAAGAAGAATTCCTCGGGGAGGCCGGCGAAGCACAAATCTGAATGATCGAGCAAATGCAAACTTGAAAGATTCATTTAAAGGTTTTGCTTCCAAAAGCGTTTCAACACATAACCTGGTGTTCCTACCTCGAAATGTGGCAAAAAACGGAAAAATGTGCCATCGAATTTGTTTGCTGGTTTATAAGTTAGGGCCTCGAGAGAGCTGGATATGTTGAAAAGTGAGTTTTGAAGTTGTCTCTCGCTTGCAGACAAAGTTTTTCTAAGTAAAGAAGTTTATAGATAAGAATCGGGATGGATGTTTGGGAATGTAAAGAAGAATTTTGTCAGAAAATGTTGCTTTATTAGGGCTAGTTCATGCAGGTGTCAGTATCACAGTAGAATGTGGCTTTCTTGCTGAAAGTGAAAAATCACACCTTTCTCATGTACTGTAGATATCTCCAGCAGGTTAGCTTAGCTTAGCATAAAGACTGCACAAGGGGACATTACTATCATAGCGCTGTAACTAAATATGTCTACCAGCACCTTTTAAAGCCAAGAAACACTGATGCTCTAATTCTGACTTTATACAAATATTAAGTCTGTGCCGAAAAAGCCCTCCACATTTCGATAAGAATGATCCCCTCCTGTTGAGTTGTTTGCTTAAACATATTTCCAGCAGCTCTTCCCCACTGAAGCTGTCCTGTACAAATAATCCAGTGACAGTGAAGAAGGGAAAACAATCCCCTGTCTGAGGAACAATGGGACGTGCCGAAAAACAAAGCGCGGCGCCGAGTGACGAGCACCTCCAAGGTCTCCGCTGCGTGTTTGGTTTCGGGATCTTTCCCCGGTGTTGATGTCCTGAGGTGGCGTATGTTTGGTGCAGCAGACGGGAATTCTTTCTTTGTTTTTCTGGACGGAAAAGACACCAGGAGAGGCTGTGATTGTCTCAGGGACGATGCGGGTTCTTTCCCAGGGCGTGTAGTGAGTCCCTGCCAAAATACACTCACGTCAACCTTAGTATTTGCAGCATTTCAACACCTCTACACTGATGTGTTCTGCACCAAAGCCTGTAGCTGCCCTGTCTCTTGGAACACATTATAATTGTTTGTTCAATTATTTCTCTTGGATGAGGCACCTGCACTTCCCCAAGTGAACTCCTGAGACCAAAGCACAATTACAGAGCAGCGGCTGTTTAAAGAGCGGGGGGGAGAGTCGGATAAATACCTTTTTAGCGCTCAAGGTAACAAGCAAAGGGTGACAGTGAGAAGGCTCGCAGGGAGCAATTTCCTATTTATTTGCCTTGTGATTTGACCTCGCTCTTGACAAGGTTCCAGCTTATTACCGTGTCTGTCCTCGCTGTAATCACGGGCCCATTACAAATGTTCAGTAGGCTGGAAGTGCCAGATGTGGGCGAAGGAGAAAAAGCAGGCAGAGAGCAGTGCTGACCGGTGCTGATGAACCCTCTGAATTGTATTGTGAGCTTTGGAATGTCACAGATAAGTAGCCAAGATGCTTGCAGGAATTGTACATTGTGTTTTATGACCTCCACTGGCTGCTTTTAATGAGGAGTTCTGTGCAGAGGTGTGAAGTTGTTTCATAGGGAGGAAAAAATAAAGTTTACACGCTCTGCTTCTGTGAGGAAGTCCTGCTTACATGAGAACATGGTGTTATTCATGATGCTGTTTTATTAGCTGTATCAGGAGCTGCTTAGGAAGGCAGTGGGGTGTATACATGTGTTGTGGTGTGAGGAAATAATCACTTTTCATTAATGATGGCAGAAAATGAATTCACAACAGGCTTTTATGCTTGTCTCTCTTGTCTCATAGCAATGCGATTTCAAAATTAAAGTCAGAATATTTGTTATTATTTCCCAGGGGGAATTCGTTTTTTTTGACAGTTCCTCCATTTTAGAATATAATAAAAAAAATTGAAATAATATTTTATAATAAGGAATAACTGTATATTAAAAATAAGAATGTGCAATACAAAGATAAAATAGAAGATATGATATTTATATATTTTAAATATAATAAAATATTAAACATAGGAGTTAAAGTAAGAATGTGGAATACAAATATTAAATAAAATAAAAATATGTATTACAACATTTAATTAAATAAAATGTACAATAAAACAATTACAATATGTTTTATAAACACATATTTTTAAATATATAGGATCAATACGATACTAATGCTGAATTTCAACATTAGTTAGTGCTACGATATTTGATCTTCTGCATTCAAAACAGTCCCTTCCTTTTATGCCCCCCACCCCTCACTCCACAGGGGATGCTTGTACTCTCACAGTTACACTCTGTCACTCTGATGTGTGTTGGTGTGTGTGTGGGAATGACCATTTACATTCACAGCATATTTACTCCTGGCAGCTCATTGTGCACAGAGATGCCAGTGAGCGTTGTACGGCTCTGCTTTACACTGTGTGCAGTCACACAGCTATCACCCCCCCACACCCCTCATGCACACCTCCCACCTCTGTCGCCATGCTCTGCGCCCTGCATGCATTATTCACCGCCAAATTAAAATACCGTCCGAGAGTGAGGGTTGCATGTTAAGGCAGCTGAGTCGGGGAGGTGCCGTCACAACAGCTGAAAGTGTCTGTCACAGAGTTCTAACTTTTTATTTTTTTCCCATAGTTCTCGGCAGTGCAGCTGCCTAAATGAGAGGGATTAAGTTAACTCCCCGTTCAGAGGAAGAGCAGGCCCTGGATTAGGGCACTGGGCATGGACACAGAGAGTATTCAAGCAGGAGCCCCAGCTTTTTAAAAAAGAGACGTGGGGAGGCAGCGGGGCGCGGCCCTCGCAGGGCCCAACGGCCGAGTTGCTTGAACAAATACATTGACAAGTGTAACGCCGCACACGCAACACGGAAAAGTATGTCGGAGCAGAGAGGGGGAACACTGGCGGACACGCAGACAATCACAAAAGCATTCTTCTTCTTCTTCTTCTTCTTTCCTCACGCTCTCTATCGTCTGTCATGCCCTGAAACGCTGTCTCAGGCATGGAAATAAGAGATGTTAGGAATTATTCATGTAGGAGCTATAATTATGGAGAATCACTTCTGTAAGGTGACTACATATGAACCCAGCAGGTGTTTGACACTGATTTTGTTGCCTCGTTTAAAGGCATGATAGAATTAGATTATAATATTATATTCTCTTTAGCTTAACACTTTGCCACGTTGAATGTAGCAGAAGATACTTTTTTTGCAGATGACAGTGTAAAAGTCATCGAATGCATCAAAGCATTCCATTTGCATGTGGGCCAATGCCCTCAAAAATCAAACTAGAGCTGATCCTGCATATTTTTGTAAAATGTGGGCCTAAATGTCTTTATTTCAAATGATGTATTAGTCAAAAATGTGTAAACTCAACCCTGTAATGCATTCTGCCGGTCAACAAATCAATATCCTGAGAAATAAATCACAAACACATCTTTAAAAGGAAAAACAATATGAATACATCTTGACTTTTGGCTGATGCAAATCCTAAATGTAGACCGAAAAACCTTTTTTCATATAAGAAAATGATCAAAGAATCCATCTCCTTCTCTCACTTCTTGTAGTTTGATCACTTTCCATACAGTTTCACCTGATTGAGTAATGGTTCTGGCTAAATGTCTGCCCTCACTGCCCTCTGTGGTCTGAAAACCCTTCACAGAGAGGGAAAAAAAACCTGGGAATGAGTGGAGATGAGAACAGGTGGTGAAACAGTGTGAGAAACACGAGGGAGGGAAAACAACAGACACCTGCTCGTGAAACCCAACCTGGTTCCTCCATCACATTCCTGCAGAGTTCAGCTGACAGCGGCTGGGAGGATACACTCAATCTCCTGCACTAAATCACTCCGCTGACACCGTGTGAGGGGAAGCGCATTCACAAGGCTGATACTTAGAGGGAATACCTTTTTATAAAGTGGAATTAGACACTGAAATTCTGCACTTAAGCCTGCAGGAATTCAGGAAATACATTATCAATGGATCCTGATCACCATGGCTAATGCTCGTGCTAATCAGGAAGCTAAAAAATACATTATTGAGTGGTCAAGACAAAGTATTTTGTTAAAAGTAGCTAAAGCCGAGTAATCAATGTAGTGGAGTAAAATAACATTATTTCCCCTTTAAATGTAGTGGAGTAGTATTACATGTAACAAGTCCCTCAAAATTGTACTTAAGTACTTGGGTAAGTGTACTCAGTTACATACCATATTTGAAACCAAGTGAATGATCTTTAGTCTCGGAAACACCTGCCCTGTAATTTTAGAGTCTGTTGGATCAAACCGTATTTCAGTAAATAATTAAGCACCCTAATCTCCTCTTGTCTCCCCCTCTGTGTTTGTTTTCCCGCTGCAGGGAGCTCCGTCCCGTCAGCTCCGTGACATGGAAGCGACGGTGACACCGGAGATGACGGACGTCTTTTTGTCTCCCGCAGTCAGGACGCCGCGCCGGGCCCGCGGACGACTGTAATCGCTCGGACAGGTGACATATCTGTGGAAACCAGAAGATGATGGGGCAGACGACTCAAATCATGTGACCTGCACCTCACATGCCTCCTCCTGTACAGTAAGTGTCTGACGGGCTCCACCGTGACATCACATGACATTTAGGGAAGAGAATGGTGTCCTTAAATTGATAAGATACAATGCTTCTGCTGATTTTAAAGCTAGGTCTGGGTTGGGTTTCATCCACTTGAATGTGCGCAGTCTGTTAGGTAAACTAGATTTTGTCCGTATCTGGGTGAGCTCGACTGACGCTGACGTCATTGTTTTATCAGAAACATGGCTAAACAAATCTATTTTGGCCTCTGACATTGCCTTAAATGGTTTTAATGTGTATCGTACCGACCGGCCTAATAAAGGTGGTGGCGTTGCCATTTATGTTAAGAATAAGTTCAGTGTAACCGCTGTAGTTTCCAAATCGATCAGTAAGCAATTTGAATTTTTAGCCATAAATATGGAAGTGGCAAAGGGTCAACAGGTCATGGTAGTTAGTTGTTACAGACCCCCCTCAGCTGTCAAAGACTCCTTGTCTTCACTAGCAAATCTTTTATCACAACTAGACTACAAGGACATAGTGCTTTTAACTGGGACTGGTTAACTGCAGTGTCAGAGGATTTTAAAAACCTTTGTATCTCTTTAAATGTTACTCAGATTGTGGACAGTCCTACTCGCCCTAACATTAAGTCCCCTAATAAATCCTCCCTAATTGATCTCATTTTAACTAATGTTCCCCATAAATATTCATCTGTGGGAGTATTTGCAAATGATCTGAGTGATCACTGTGTTGTAGCCACAATTAGGGACACTAAGGTCCAAAAGGTTAAACCTTGCATTATCATTAAGAGAGACAAAAAACATTTTGTGGAGCAGGGTTTTGTGCATGATCTGCTTGATTTTGATTGGGGTAAAATCGATCTGTGTGCTGATGTAGAAACCGCATGGTCTTATTTTTATCTTGGTTTTATGGAGATCATAGACATGCACCCCTGCGTAAATTTAGAGTAAAGGGACGAGACAATCCTTGGTTTTCTGCTAATCTGTCCAGTCTCCTTCATGAGAGAAACAAGGCCTGGGCAAAGGCTAGGAAATCAGGCTCAGAGGTAGAATGGCTGCGTTTTAGGCAGCTAAGAAATAGCTTCACTTCACATGTCAAAAGTGCTAAATCAAAGTACTATCTGTCAGTAACCACAAAGAATCTGAATAATCCTGGAAATTTTTGGAAAGCCATTAAATCGTTATCCACCGGCGATATCCGTAATGAGCTACCTCCGTGCATTACCACAGCATCTGGCACTATATCGGACAGGGCTACTATGCTAAATTGCTTTAATGAGCATTTTGTGTCCTGTGGTTCTCTATTTGATTCTGTCACTAACTCTGCTTCTGTGAACACTACAGTATGTGACTCTGAAAAACGTGTGTTGGAAAACCCTTTTAGTTTTACCCCTTTTACTGTTGATGTTGTTCGTGAAGCTTTAACCAAGTTAGATCCTAAGAAACCGGCTGGCCCGGACAACGTAGAACCTTTCTTTTTAAAGATAGCTGCAGATTTTATTGCTCCACCTCTCACTACTCTTTTTAACCTCTCCCTCAGCACTAACACAATTCCAAAATTGTGGAAGTCAGCGTATGTCCTGCCTTTGCTAAAAGGAGGGGAGGCCACCTTATTAAATAACTATAGGCCAATCTCTAAGTTGTTAGTTCTGGCGAAGGTGCTCGAACGCTTAGTGAGTGAACAGGTAAAGGTGTTTTTATGTACAAATGACATCCTGTCTAAACATCAGTCAGGCTTCAGAAAGCAACATAGCACCATCACTGCCACAATGAAAGTGGTGAATGATGTGGCGAGTATTTTAGATAATAAGCAGAGTTGTGCAGCTCTATTTATTGACCTTCAAAAGCGTTTGATACCGTCGATCATCACATTTTAAAGCAGAGGCTAGCCAGTATAGGCATGTCCAGCCATGCAGTGGGTGGTTTGTAAACTACCTCTCTGAAAGGTCCCAATGTGTTCATTTTGATGGGCTGTCTTCTGAGTGGTTGAACATTGCAAATGGTGTACCACAAGGTTCTGTTTTAGGTCCACTTTTATTCTCCATCTACATCAACAGTTTAGGTGAAAATGTGGATGAAGCTACTTTACATTTTTATGCGGATGATACCGTGATGTTCTGTGCAGGTCCCTCCATTAAGGAGGCTGGTGTTAAATTACAGGCTGTTTTTAACATTATTCAGACTCAGCTCTCTGAGCTAAAGCTTCTTTTAAATGTTGAGAAAACCAAGGTAATGCTCTTTTCTAAAGCTAAAAAGACACCAGAGCCTGTTTTAGATATTGTAACTATGCAAGGAATACAACTTGAAGTGGTTACCTGTTACAAATACCTTGGTATCTGGCTTGATGATTGTCTCAATTTTAAACTTCATGTCAATAACCTGCTTAAAAAGCTGAGGGTTAGGCTAGGTTTCTTCTACAGGAACAAGTCCTGTTTCTCGCTTGAGGCCAGGAAAAGGCTAGTCTCTGTGACCTTTTTACCTGTGCTGGACTATGGTGATTTGATGTATATGAATGCACCTGCCAATTGCCTGGTCAAGTTAGATGCTGCGTATCACAGTGCACTGAGATTTGTGACAAACTGTAAAGCATTAACCCATCACTGTACCCTGTATGCAAGGGCCGGTTTGCTTTCACTAACTGTACGGAGGCTCAGTCACTGGTACATTTTCATATACAAAGCCATGTTAGGGAAACTTCCATCCTATATCTGCTCCCTGATCTCACGGAAAATTGTAAGTGGCTACTGCCTGAGATCGAATGCTGTGGTTTTATTAAATGTGCCAACTGAACAATTGAAGCTGGGCGTGTCTGAGGCTTGGCGATTTTTTGCGAGCAACGCGACCAACAACCAATCAAATGAATCTCACGCCCCCGACATACAAAGCAATAGCAATGTTAAAACGAAGTAAACTGGATATAAAATCCCCAAACAGGCGAAAACCTACCAGTTTCACCCACTGTCTCTGCCACCTCCCTCCATGCCTCGCTCCTCCGGTTTGTATCCCGGTAGATGAACAGAGACTGATCATACAGCACCGGGTGATTCACTACCACTATAATGAATTTTCCCTCAATTTTTTTGAATATGAGGAATTACCTGCGTAGTCTCTCCCAGCATACACGCAGTTTGATTGGCTAGCGCTTGTACTGGCAGATTTGCATAAACGGGATTTTATTGGCTGACGCCAGCTTCGAGCAAGCATCGAGCCTCAAAAGTTGAACATTGTTCAACTTTTGACGCCGATAGACGCTCGCGATGCTTGCAACGCCTTGCCATGCTACCCACAATGCAGTTCGGCGAAGTTTTTAAATATCCTACGTCACCCCATTCAAATGAATGGGCGAAGCGTTGAAAGCATTTTTTGACGCCTGTAGTGTAGGCCCTGTCACACTGTCCCGAAATTGACACCCGATGGACACACGAATATGGAATTGTGAATTTCGCACGAAGATGGCCCCGAACCACACACGAAGGCAACATTTACATTACATTTAAGACATACAACTGCAATGAAAGTACCAAAAACAATTATGTTACAGTACTATGATACTGTACTGATATCTTCAGACTTTGTTCTTTACTTTATCCGTCGTTATATGTAGAAAATATTACGTTTTCTCCGTAATGTTGTTTCCATAACAACAACAACTTCCTGTCAACTGTCCTTCAAAATAATATATTATATGCTTTTTAGTTTCACAGAACACAAATTGGGTTATTTACATAATATATTTACATGATTTTGTTGTGCAATAAAACAACCCGATGGACACACGATAAAGGAAATGTTCAAATTCGGCTGTGATCGTAGCAACATCGGGCCATTCGTGAGGTCATCTTAAGCCATCGTATGACCGCCGGTGGAGTTTCTCAGGCTCCGGCAGCAACTTCGTGAGCGGTGGCAAAATCTTTGGCATGCCAAAAAATTGCCGAAGGACCTTGCGAAGGTTCATTTTCGTGTTGAATTCGTGTGTCAATTGTGCCCTTCGTAAGGCCATCGTGAGGGCATCTTGTTATCATCGGTGCCATCGGGCATTCGCCCCGATCAGAGTGAGGGCGAATGCCCGATGGCACCGATGATAACACGAAGATGACACGATTTGACAAGATGCCCTCACGAGTGCCTTACGAAGTTGCCGCTCACGAAGTTGCTGCCGGAGCCTGAGAAACTCCACCGGCGGTCATACGATGGCTTAAGATGCCCTCACGAATGGCCCGATGTTGCTACGATCACAGCCGAATTTGAACATTTCCTTTATCGTGTGTCCATCGGGTGTCAATTTCGGGACAGTGTGACAGGGCCTTTAGGGAAGACAGCTTTTAGATGCGCAGCTCCTCTGTCTTGGAATAGTCTGCAAATTAAATGGAAACTGAACAATCTGGTGCCACTAAATGTTTTTAAAGCTCGGTTGGATGCTAGTCAATCGGAAACTATTGGTACCTGTTTATGTGGATAATTATGTAAATGAGATGTATGATGTCCTTTTGTTGTTCTATTTATGTTTTTATGTTTCATGTGGAACTACTTGAGCAGGTCTCCCTTGAAAAAGAGATCAATGATCTCAATGGGATTTATCTGTATAAATAAAGGTTTGAAATGAAATGAATACTCAGGGATGATGACAGAAATGTGGAGATATTTTTGTATTCATCCTCGACAAAGTAATGAAACCAGAGCCCAAGTATAAGTTTGAGGTATTTACATAAAAGCCACTTGCTCGTTCAAACAGTACTCATAATTTCCCTCCGATCTAAGACCACATTTCCCATCAGCCCTGTCTGAGAAGTCTCCTCTTCTCCTACATTAACATGTGTTCCTGTTATAATTCCTCCTTTTCCACCATTATGAAAACGTTGACCTTTATTGAATAAGAAAAATCTGTTATTTTCTATTTGTGTTTAATAACTTTTTTATAATTTATCATAGTTAATTTGCTAATGATTCCTCTGTAGAGTCAGTGTTCCAGTTCATTTTAAAAGTGTAGCATAAGGTTGAGGTCAAGTTCTT